TAGAAATAAACACTTTATGAGTTTAAGATCATAGACATGATAACCCTTTTTTTGGGACGGATATCCAAGAAATAAATATTTGACGCACAAGGATTAAACTTGGAACGATGAAGATTAAGTATGGAAGCATAACAAAGACAACCAAAAATTTTAAGATGTTTTAAACGTAGAGGATTATTAAATAAGAGTTCAAATGGGGTTTTATTGCTGGTGATTAGCAAAGGTGTACGATTAATCTAATATGCACCATGCATTACAAATGGTGTACGATTAATCTAATATGCACCATGCATTATAAATTTTAAGATGTTTTAAACCTGGAGGATTATTAAATAAGAGTTCAAATGGGGTTTTATTGCTGGTGATTAGCAAAGGTGTACGATTAATCTAATATGCACCATCAATTCAGAGTTTGAGTACAATGAAGCATAGGGAAACACACGTTTAATAAAATTGACATCTCTAGAAATAAACACTTTATGAGTTTTAAGATCATAGACATGATAACCCTTTTTTTGGGACAGATATCCAAGAAATAAATAGTTGACGCACAAGGATTAAACTTGGAACGATGAAGATTAAGTATGGAAGCATAACAAAGACAACCAAAAATTTTAAGATGTTTTAAACCTGGAGGATTATTAAATAAGAGTTCAAATGGGGTTTTATTGCTGGTGATTAGCAAAGGTGTACGATTAATCTAATATGCACCATGCATTACACTATCAAATTTCATAGGTAACACAGCTTGAAACCTTAGGGCCCTTGCAACATTCATTATATGTTGATGTTTTCTCTCTACCACACTATTTTATTGTGGTGTATATGGACAAGATTTTTGATATAAAACATCTTTCTCAGCATAATATTATATGATGTTGAACTCCTGCCCATTATCCGTTCAAACAATTTTAATTTTTACATTAAACTGAGTTTCAGCATATGCAAAGAAATCATGTACAATTTTCCTTGTTTCAGACTTTACCTTCATAGGGAACAACCGACTCCAATCACCAACAATTGTAAAACAAATAATGGTGACCATACAAGGAAGTAATAGAAACCGGATCGTATATCAAGATGAATAAGATTGAAACAATGAACATTGACATATTATTAATTGTAAAAGAATGTCTTTTTTATTTAACAAAGTAACAAATGTCACATACAATATTTGAATAAGGAACAATAGAATTTTTCATTTCACGAAGAATCTTAAGTCTTGGTGAAAAACGGTGACCAAGAGAAAAATGACAGATCTTCATTACTAACAATATGAGAAGAATTCAAAGTATTTGACCTAATAACAGAATTTACAACACTCTTTGGTCCGTTGGGTTTTCAAGTGTAACACCCTGTTTTTTTTTTTTTCACCGACATAGTCTCAAGTAGATCAGTATGCAGAACACCTGTATTTCATTTTAAATCAATCACACACATAAAGAAAAAATACCGCCACCAATTGCTCAATGCCTAATAAAAATCCTCAACTGTAAACGCATCAATACAGTAAAGTACAATTTCATAAATCCTTGGTTTATATGCGATTTACATTACTACCAACTATGTAAGTATCCAATTCTACCAGTAGTAAACCCTACTCTATTTCCTCTATATGCTAGGTTCGGAAGCTAACAACTCTGATCCCGACTCTAGTCATACTTCATCTGTAAATAATAGAGAATGAGTACATATAACTCAATATAGTAAATTTAAAT